GGTCCGCTTTGTGTGCCAAATTGCTAAAAGAAATCCCAGTGTTTCTCATCCAGAGCTGCAACGACAACTTCTGGAAGCTACAGGTGTGATCGTTTCGTTGAAACCATAAGAAAAAGACTTCGCGCTCGGAGGTTGTACAGTAGGAGTAACGGGTCCCACAGTTATCTAGGCAAAATAAAATTGACCGGCTAAATTGATGCCTTCAACACCAAAACTGAGAATTGGCAAAATGCTCTTTGTTCAGATGAGACCAGAGTTGTCCTAATATCAGATGATAATCGAATTCGAGTTCTCAGAGCTCCAGGAAGACGAGCGAGACTCCAAGCTGCCAGATCTGTCCCAAAATATCAAGGAGTAACTGTAATATTCTGGGGAAGTATTATGCTGGGAGCAAAAACTCCATTGTTACCACTTCAACAAACTTTAACCAGTCGAATGTTGATTTAGTGCTAGAACCAATCTTTAGGCTTTGGGGATAATTTTATCTTCATTCACGATAATGCACCTCCCCATACTAGCAGAGTGGCTAGAGAATGTCTTGAAATGGATGGTGTCACAGTTTTAGACTGGCCTACATGTTCACCAGACCTAAATCTTATCGAACACTTGTGGGACCAGCTCAAAAGAAGGGTTAGAGTTCATCGAAACAATGCAGGAAATGTCGCACAGCTTATTGATGCAGTATTAGCAGAACGGGAAAACGTACCCCAAGACAATGTTGACAATTTAATAAGAAGCATGCCAAGGCGAATAGAAGTTTGCATAAGGGCTCGAGGTGGTAACACGGATTATTAAAATTACCATTTTTGTTTTTGCTTTTTGGCCATTAAAAATTTAAATCTCATTTCTTTTCAGAAACAAGAAAAAAATACCGTTATGGTACCTTTTCTCCTTCAGATTTATAGGGGATGGAAGGGTTATTTCTTTTTACTAACTCAGTTTTATAAAATTCGGGAGAGTAGGGTCGGGTTCTTAGACACAACGCAAATTTTTATAAATTCAATTTAATTTTTGACAGCGTCTGACATTTATTTCAGAGGTTAGATGTACCGAAGAGTAACAAAAAAAAAATATATATATAATATGAATATAAAAAAAAAGATACCACGCCGTGATTCAGTAGGTAAAATAATAATTATATATATCATGCAATTGTATCGTTACAATCTGAGCCACACGTCCGCAAATAGGCCTAAATGTTACAAACGGTAATCCAGAATTGTAAGTAAGCTTTATAAAATGGTTTTACCTCTATATATAACCCTAATATTATCAATTTCTAAGGTAAATTACGTGAATTATCTCGATTATCTCAAAACCTTTGTAGGTAGAATCACAATTAGTGGACCCCGGTTGAGGTTATGTGGTACCCACGATAAATGGGGCCCTTGGCTATAAGGAATAGTCTTACTTTATATCTCTGTTGTCTTGTGGTCCTCAATATTGCATCGTACCTCTGGCCTGTCTGTTCAAGGAGGGCTAGATCCAGCCGATTTGCTGTAGGGGTTGGTTCTGGGGTACCTGGCTTCCTAAACTAGCTAAACATGCACCCAATCCTTGTAGAATGTTAGCTGGCAGTGTTCAAAAGCTGTAGCAGTTTAGTGATAGTACCACGAAGAAAGCTTGGAAGGAAGTGTATTAGTCCGAAGGAAAGTCGATAGATCCCACAGAAAGAAATACCCAGATAGATATAAGTAGAATAAGTATTAAAGTAGAAGCTGAAGTTGAAGTTAAAGTTGAAGGTGAAATTGAAGGTCTGTAAGAAGGATTAGTGTAAGCCACACATATAAACAGCCTTAAGCGATAGGTAAGCCATGTAAGAGAATAATTATATTTAATATTAGACACTCACCTTTAGGTGTAGGGCGACCTTTTTGTAGGAATCACAGTCAAAGATTATATAAAATCCACCGAATGGTGTAGAAATCACAAAGATTTATCAACTAATTCTTTAGACTGGTTTCACAGTTTTTAATCTTTTAGCTCAAGTCAAATCCTAGATACACTAGAGAAAATAGCACATGCTACCACAAAGTTGAGCAGATAAAAACTGATAAAAGGAAGTTCCCAAAATGGTGGGAAGTCAATGGAAGGTCTTGACTATTAAAGACTAACAGGACAAAGTCTGGTAAGAGTGTGGCCCCTCAGTAAAAGAAGAATGTGACACTTCATAAAAGTGAATGTAAACAAAAACAAATAATAATTAACCTATATTTAAAACCATCAGATATGTAAAAGAGTTATGTGTACTATTTCTTGTAGCAACAGGCATTTCTTTGGGTTCTAAAGTATTCATTAAAAGTAATCATTCTAACAAAATAATAGGAAAGGTTAGAATAGGGTTGAAAGTAGAATAAGCTACAAAATTAGAAGTCTTACGATTCATACAACGGTTTCTGTAAGTAAAACAAATCCAAAATAGAATAGGCCTAGATTATAAAGTAGATTAATGTAGAATAGGTTAGATTAGAATAGAATAACTTAGAATAGGGTAGAATAGATTAGGATTAGATTAGAATAACTTAGAATAGGGTAGAATAGATTAGGATTAGATTAGAATAACTTAGAATAGATTTAGGATTAGATTAGAATAACTTAGATTAGGGTAGAATAGATTAGGATTAGATTAGAATAACTTAGAATAGATTTAGGATTAGATTAGAAGTTAAATTAAATCATAAATAAAAATAAAGTTGTGTATTGTTTACTAGCTCTGCCATTTTAACTTGGCTACGATATTTTGACCCGTAACAATTTTATCAACTAACTAACTCGTTCATATTGCAGGACATCGCTCTACTCTCCCGCAAATATTCACTCGTCACATAAAATAAGGCATTTCGTAACTGGTTGCATAAATAGCTATTTCATAACCAGTTGCATAATGTTCAACTTTATGTAACTGGTTACAAAAAGTAGATCATTTTTACACTTGCTGCGATTACAGAACTGTCACTTTATGTGTCAAAATTAAAAAAAAAGTGTGCGTCTCCCGCATATATGATGTTCAACTATTTACTCATTTTTGCGGCTCTCGGGGTTAAAGGGTTAATTCTAAAGGATTTTAGAAAATTTGGGTCACAATAACCCTGAGGTTCAGTCATCTGAACCGATGTTTTAACAACCTATTATTCGCTTCAAAAATATGGATGATATATAAGGCGTAGTAACGTACTCGTAAATTCGAATTGTAGGCAATAGCCATGAAAAACTTTTTTAATTGATTCCACTTTTAATTTTGCCTGAAGGTGGCCCATAAATGCCGAAACTAGTTGCATCGTATTTGTGTTAAAGTGTATGTGGTATTGTTTCTAAGTTTTATTCTTTCTCTAAGAATACCAACCACATTTAAGAACTTAGATATTTCATTCTTGATTAATTTTATTCTTCTGGAAAAAATTGTTGGTTTGTATACTTTAGACTTTAAGTAATTGTATTTCATTCCCTGATTGTAAACAAACAATTCCAACTACTTTAACTATTTTAGATTCCTGGTTTAGCTCGTTTCTAATAAGTCCAGTTTGGTTACTCCATCAATTTTCCAATTGTATCTGCTGTTTCTCTTTTAAAACAACATCAAAAGAATCTAGCGGTGAGCAAGTCAGCGCCGGCCTTTAATATATGATTTGTTATATATGATTTAATAATATAATTATTTTTTTTGCCTATAATAAGGGAATACCTTAAAAAGGAATAAACAAATTTTATAAAATATTTATCATCAGTTTAATAATTATTTGATAAAAAATTGCATTATTTGTAAAATCGGTTAAATAAATCGAAAAGAAAAAAAAATTAAATTAAGAATTACCATCACCGCTGTCATCTTCACTTGACGTGTCTTCCAAATTTATATGTGTTGCAAGATGACTCGATATTCGATAATTGTTTTCAATATTCTTGACATGGCGAACACAATTGGTGCATATTTCTGGAGATATTCCTGCAACAACTTTGTGTATGACATCTAACACACTTTGAAACAACGTAGGAGTGACATTTCTGTTTCTAGATATTACTCCAAATCAATTCTATAAGATTGTATGTGCAATAATAAGATGACAAGCGTATAACGCTATGACCGAATCTTTTAGCCATCTCATTAACAACATATTATATGGGTTTAATTTAATCCCTTCAGTATAGCCAGTAGATCTTTTTTTAAAGCTGTGGGAGGATATGTTAAACACATATTATTTTAAAATGAAGATATAACCTCTTTGCGAGCTTTGGATTTTGGTATTTCACCTGTTTGTCGGGAACGGTAGGGGGAATTATCCATGACTATCTCCCTAGACCAAATATCAGCGACTATAATCAATTGATTAAAGCTCTCGGGCTCTAATCAGACTATTAATGCCAAAAATTATGTCTCATCAAATTGATATTAAAATATTCTCGAGATTTAGATTCAACAAAAATAGCCGACTATTATCAAGGTCTTGGTATATTACTCTTGACTATCTCCCTAGACCAAATATCAGCGACTATTTCTCTAGAGAAATAGTCGATATTTTTTGGTCTAGTGAAATAGTCGTCCCAAATATAAACACGACCTTGAATAATATTCTGTTATTTTTATTGTTGTTAAATTTCTCGAACATTTTACAATTTGATTCTACATAATTTTGGCTTTAATAATCAATGTATTAAAGCCCTTGAGCTAAATCTCTCTGGCTCTAATCAGATTATTAATGCTAAAACTTATGTCTCATCAAATTGATAATAAAGTATTCTCGAGATTTGGATTCAACAAAAATAGCTATTATCACGGGCTTGGTATATTACCCTTGACTATAATCGCATTTGATTGCAAATTTGGTTTCAGTTTGTTTTCAAACCATTGCTCATACAAGCTTGAAGACATATTTTATGTATTATTTAAAAACAATTTAATTGTTGCAATTTTCTGAAATTGGAGATAAAATAAAAAAGATCTATTCTGAATATAAAATAATGAGCTTTTATATTATAATGTTAATGAACTTTTTTTGTTACAGATAGTGCCAATAGACTAAAAACGTTACTCAGTTTTGCGGTGGGTGGACTACTGGGGGATGTGTTCTTACATTCCCTTCCTGAAATTTGGGCAAATGACACTGCCACCTATGGTGGTAAGTACCTGACAATTTTCAAAACGAAATTCGAAATCTAGTAATTTATATATTAAAAATATGTTTTATTTTACTTTAAATAAATCAAGGCAACAACTGCCTCATAGAGCCGGTTTTACAATATAATTTTAACTTGGGTTAGCTAACTTCTACTTAAATGTTAACTTCTAGTTAAAATATAAGCGTTTTTAAATTCCAATTGTACTTCTTGTTAATTTACCTAGATTTTAGGTGTTTTTTATAATGTATTATTAAAAGAATTGTCAATCCTATATCCATGAACAAAAAAATATATAAATTTGGTTATTAATAAAGCGGATTTATTAAAAACTGAAGATGAAACGTACACACTAATTTATAAAAATTATGGAGTGTAGAGGAAAGGAGGATAATCTCATACTGTTGTTTTTCTCAAAAAGTATCCCCCAAAATGTATAAAATTAAGATGGCCCATGGGCCAAATCTGGCCCGCTGGTTCATCAATCCGGCCTGCGACAGCTAATGGCTTATTGTTGCTGTGATAAGTTGGATACAAAGAAAACAGTGATAATAACTCTGATTTATTTACTTGCTAGGTATAGCTTAATGACAAGTATAATATGCAGAAAATTTAACTCAAGCATAGTTATGTTGGAGTAAAAAGTATCGTATATGTATTGTAACCTACCGCACCCAGGTACCTTAATAATTTATTAATTCCATTTATTAAATACAATGTTCCATTCTTTTAAATTCAAAATGCTTCATTTAACGAAAAAAATCTCCCAGATAATTAAATCTTATTTACGACACCTAATAAATAGTATCTATAACCACGTCCGTAAAAGATGCACGTGGCTGAGTTCCTCGAGAAAGAAAACACCATAAAGTGTATTTCTGTTTACGAAGTAATTATCATTAAAACACTTAAGTCGCTTATTTTCCTAGTTTCGATGTTCAGACCGATATCGACAATATTTCGATACACAAAACTTTCAAGGCAAGTAATAAATAACCCACCCCCTTTTGCACCTACATTCGTTTTTTCTATGAGAAACAAAACGATAGAGACGTCACAGAAACGATTAAACTGTGTATAAAAAGTCTGACGAAAATGAGCTCGGATTCATTCAATTTTTATCATTTGATGTGCAAGCATACATTTTATTATCTGTACCCAGTTATATAATCTGTACCTTTCCTAAACGCTCCTCCTAAACGACGTCTATCCTACAATACCTCCTATCCCCGACGGTGTCAACGTCTCAACGCCCAACTTCCTGCCATCCTACTCCCTACGTCTCGAACGCTGTCACATTCCTCACCATCTAAGTATTTCCTACCGTACACTCATTTCGACGCTCAACGTCCCACGCCTTATTTCCGACGCTTTGCCGTCCATAATTATTTCCTTCATAATATCACGTCCCGCACCACCTACTTAATTCTACCGTATATCTGTCCCTATACAATACCGTATTAAATACCTTCCCTTCCATCACGACGCTAGACGTCTCGACGATGGACGCCTCGACGCCCAACCCTGCGACGTACCTACATCGACGCCTTCCACGACGCTAGATGAAATTAGTACATAATTTAATGTCTGTATTTTCAATGGTGAGTCAAAAGATTTATTTAACCTTCTTTGAGATACCACCCCGGTTTCGTTTAAGGGCGGCCTGACATTTGCTGTAAAATATTATCAATTTAACCAATAAACCACATGGCCTTCAGGTCATACACCCCGAAAGATAGGATAACATCTGTTTTGGATGGGTGAAATTTGGAGTATTTTAATAGAAATAATAAGAATCAATATTAAGAAATATACAGGGTTATATTAAGTTATTTCAATAGAAATTATAATAATCAATATTAAAATACATACAGGGTTGTATTAAGTCATATCAATAGAAATTATAAAGATCAATATTTTGGAAATATACAGGGTTGTGCTATCTTGGATAAATTGTACAAACCAAGATGGTAAAATTTAATAGTAAGTTAACCAACTGGCGAATACGCTGTTCGTTAGCTCAAGGGGGGACACCTATACGCTAAGCAACCCGTTCTACAAGGTTTGAAACAAAGTATATGTGAAATCAACATAGTAAGGTAATCAACTGGCGAATTGGCGCTGTTTGTTACTTCCGTTGGTCATCACCTCTATACTCATCGTAATATTTACCTAAGAGGGTGCAACCTGTATATATCTACAATAGAATCAAATCAATATCAACTCAATAGTTAATCAACTGGCGAATTGGCGCTGTTCGTTAACTTCGTGGGTCATCAACATAAATCAGAATATAAACAACAACACTATAGTTAATCAACTGGCGAATTGACGCTGTTTGTTAACTCTGTTGGTCATCAATCTAAATAAAATATATATTGATAGCAAATGAATATGGTCTGCGTTTGAACGGGACTCAAGTGAGATCTCAGTAAATAGTAACAATTGTAATATACTTTGCTAATTATTGCATCACATTTAAAGTATGAAAAATAAATAGAGTTTAAATATGAATTTGTATGTTTTATTTATCAATTTGCACCAAACTTTGCATCGAATTCTGGTTTACCTTAATTAACATTATCACAACGTGAGTACATAAAATATCAATTAATTAACTAGACGATCACTTCTACTACTAGAGGAAAAAGGCTAAATACAGTAAGTATAGAATTTAAAGTGAAATTAAACTTGTGAGGAAATTAATAACATTTCAAAGAGAGTAAAGTAAAATACAAGAAGAACAAATCAAAAGAAGAGGGGGCCTGGGGGCGGGCCGTCACAGTATGTATATCGACGTTTGGAATGTATATATCCTGAATCACACATATGATTTTTATCCTGAAAATCCCTCAGGGACAGAGAAGCTAAATTAACGCGAATGATACTAATGAGATTTATGTAATAGGTACAATAAAAGAATGATAAAGTCAAAGTTTTGAAAATGATTTTATTATTTTAGGTATATCAGTACCTCGGAGGTCAACTTTTTAGTAGAGCAGACTGAATGTTGTTTGGACACTTTTTGTGTTCCATATTTACATATCGTCGCCGTAGATATCAAGGGAGTCAAGGGTTTCAATTGATTTAAATTATGAATGATCAATTTGTGGTTAAAGTTTTATGATAAAATATTTGCTTATAGGTTTACCGTTTAAATAAATTGGAATTGACAAATTTGGTGAAAATGAGTTAAGTACACAGAAGCTCTTAAAAATCATCAAAAATGCCATGATCAGGGTATTTGAGTTACAATGTCCTAGTTTAACGTATTTTTACATTTTGTCAATAGATCTAGTCAACATATACCATAGCAGTCAATGAGGCCAAGCCGCAAAAATCGTTTGTCTACTAATACTTTCGTCTATTATCTTATCATTAAATAGATCCAAGCAGCTTAACGCTTTTGATCACTACAATGTTTGGCCAGAAGCGCCTGCCAATAGTGCCAACTCACATTGAATGATTTTTTGTCTGTGATTATAGTATTATCTTGCTCTTACTCGCCAAGCAAAACAAAGAAACAAAATACGCATCTGATGTCCTGTTGTTTACTTCAGTGCTGGAGTCGTTTCTAGGAAACACGCCTAATTATTATTTAGGGAGTTTGTTTTTTTTGCTTTGATATAAATAACATTTTTTATCTATAGATTGATAAAAAAATGTTTTTGAGAGTTAGGCAAAAAGTAAATTTTTTACTCCGAACAAAGCTGCGAAGTTACTCTGTCATAGGCGACTAGTTTATTAGAGCTAATCCACAAATACTGTGTTTTCAGAGTTGTCAACAGGTATAGGAGGCTTGACTCGTTTGAAAACCGTACATGCAATGCAAAGTACATTTAATTTCTTAGTGGTCAAAAGGTATAACACACATATTTTCAAAAGTAATACATTTTGTTTTCACTTTTCTTAAAGCAATAAAAGATCTATCTGTATTCAAAATTTTAACATTTTATCTTTGAAAACAAGAAAATTTAGCATAAAAATGTTAAAATTTGCTGTCACATAACTTTTGCAAGACGTTTTCTCGAAATTAGGATTTTGGGGCTTGGCAATCTTGATATCTACGGCGACGAATATATTAATTACATTTCGACAAGAAATGCAGTTGTTTCAATTATTGTCACAATGTGTATTGTTTACTAATAATCTAACTATTTAAACTTTTTTAATATACATGAATTGTTGGTTTGTGTAACATATTTCTATGTTATAATAACAAATTTTCTATGACATAGTGTCATATACCTCCAATATGCCTTTATAAATAATACGACTAACGTGAGAGTTAAAAAGTGTTGTTTAACTTCTAAGTTTATTGAACATAGTGTTATATTTTTTTAGTTAACTTTTATTGTGACATCACTATACATGGTATACTATATCCCTAGAAAGGTCTTGATGAGCTGAATTTAAAAATATGACCTTTATAAAATTGCATAGTTCAATTTACCTCTTAGGTACTGATATCGGTAAATATTTAATTTAGTCTTCATGATATAAGTACATTATCTAACATAGACACAACTATTTAGTTTCTTGAATTAATTTAGGCCAGTGCAATATTTATTTTTTATATCGTCTTTAAAAAAACTGTAATGTAGGTTTAGCTTTAATTTTTTTTGTAGATGCTAGCGATACCATTATTTGAGTAAAATCCTCACCGCTACATCAGTCTGACAATGTTTATCAATACCTCTAGCATTTATAGATAGAGCATATTTCTATAACTTCAAATTCATTACAAAATAAAATTATTATTCATATAAAATTGTACTACGGTCAAGAAATTATCATTGATCAATTAAAACATAATAAAATTGTCATATTTCTGAAATATCTTCTGGTACAATAATTTTTCTTGTCCGGCAACTACATTCTAAGATATGTTTAAAGTTAGGTACTTTATATCATTACCATAAGAGCCCATTTTTTGATGGAACCCAGCCATCGCTTAATTTACCGTTTTAAATAAAAGTCAACATAATAAAGTTGCTCTAGC